TTGCCTTTGCCCTTGGCAGGAGGTGTGTTTTTCCCATCCAGCCAAAACTCGACGTCTCTGGCGCTGGCACCATGTTGTTTGACTCGTGGTCGATGTTCCATGCCATGTCCATCATCCTTCCTTGCAAGTCCGTAAATGGTCTTGATCCGAGGAATCACCTCACCCGCTTTGTTGCGTTTCTCCTTCAAGTGTGTGGTCTGGACACGAACCAATTTGAGAAACTTTTCGAGAGCGCTCGTGTTGCGAATACCGTAGCCCTGCATGAGGGCTGGCAAAGGACCGGTGTGGTAAAAAGCTCCATGGCTAACGTTGATGTTGACCAAGATGCGACAGGTTGCAACCCGTACGCTTGAAAAGAATCCACGGATGACTTCCAGACCGGCTCCAAGGTCGCTCCTGGAAGCGTTTTGGTGAAGAGAAAAGCTCTTGGATGATCCGATGGTGGCGAGGTTATTAGCTGACTTGGCATAATGATTCAAGAAGATGTTGAGTGCCTGAGTCAGTTCATCCTTGTTTTCCAAACGCTGAGAAAGATTGGTGGAGTTCATCCAATTCACCAGATCACCGATGTTCAAGGTGTTTGTAAATTGAAGGAAGACTTTGTACACCTTGGCTTCTGTTGCGGGATCGTCTTCGCCCTCGGAACGATATTGGATTTCAACAATGTCCTTATCATTGGTGAACTTGGTCTTGGCCACTATGGTTGAACGGAAATCAATAGCAATCTGGCCTTTGTACTGCGCCATCTCTGGGGCTTCGAGCAAGAGCTGCACAACGCGGTGGCGTTTCCTGCCCGTAACCTCGGGAGTAATGTCAATGGCATAACGATACAATACCATATTGGACGGCGTGAGAAGCTCGACATAGTTGGCAGTAAGCTCGACCTTGACACCTTGGGTGCCATATCCTGGGCGGGTTGGATAGTCCTCGGAAAGTTTTAAGCTACCAAGGTCAAGGGTCTTCTTCGCCGGGGGATGCAAGGCGTTTTCGGTATTCAAGACCCTTTGGTCCACGGGTCGAGGGTTCCTATAGGCCAGATTAATGCAAGACAGGCGTGGGTAACATGACAGCTCTTCTTACTGGAAGGCCAGGTTTTCCTGCATGCCACCGCCTCTCCCACCACGAAAGCCACCTCGTCCTTCGCCTCGACCCCGACCGCCAAAATCACCTCCTCCTCGCCCACCACCGCGACCACCAAAATCACCTCTTCCATCTCCTCGACCCCTACCTCTAAAGTCTCCTCCTCCTCTCCCACCACCGCGACCTCCGCCACGGTCGCCACGATCGCCGCGAAAGCCGCCGCCGCGGCCTCTATCGCCTCCGCCTCGGGGTGCGTAAGACATGAATGAATGGTTGAGTGAGGCTTTCGAACTGAAAAAACCGGTGTAGACGAGACGAATCCCACCAACACCAAAAAGTGCTCAATGTAGTTTTTGATATCAATACCAAGCGGGTGTATAAGATAAACAAGAGGTAGAATTATCTTCTTAAGTGTGTAGGCGAAGAGACACAAGGCTGAGACAAAAACGCGTCGATGCGGGTTAGCAAACGAAAGCGGGGGCGGCGGCGAACGGACCCACAGCTACGCCGCTGACGCTAATCGATAGCCAGACACCCTGGCACTTGCCCAGACATGCTCATCCCTGGTACAACACCATCTTCCCTCACAGCAGGCAACAAGTTTTCCACTGCAACAAAGAAATTGCACCTGATTCATCGTTTCGTTACCTTGTCTTTTCATGCAAACACCGTTCAATGGCTGGAAACAAGCTGGCGCATGCAGCCTGGTCTCTCCACCACCTTGCAGGCGGGCGGCTAAGCCCATGCTTCCATACAACTACGCCAATCGCACTTCGAAGGATTCGCATCCTGGAGTCGCGTCGAAACGTCATGCTGAGAACCCGAATCGCTGCCCTTCTATCTTCTGATCAAGCCCTGGAACCTACCAGTGCTCGTGTCAACATCTCATTCGTGAGAAGCAACCAATCTGTCCTCACGCCTTCTGACCATCACCAACATCTGAATTGCGCCCTTTTCTCTTTCAGTTTCTTGCATCAATGCTGTGGTGCCGGGTATCGCAAATTGGTTGTCGCACGCTTGTGAAAGTTGCGAATCATGTTTTCCTCTCAGCTTACAGTGCAGCAATCGCTACCCAGACAAGGATGCTGGAAACTCATTACAGAGTACTAGTTTGTAACTACTCAAATGCGTTTATTACTGGCTTTGTCTCTGAATCGGTCAATCAATCGAACTGGCAAAGCAGAGCTACAATCTGATCATATGGCCGATCAATTTGTGCAGGTCAGGCATCACCTCAGCCTTGCTGTATTCAGTCCAAGTCTGCCGCTGTGGAACAATTGCGGCGGGTCAGAGTATGTCTTTCCACAGTAATTTTTCTGTGCGAGCAAACCCCGAAACAACTCTTGATTGAGACATCGGATGTCTTACAACCACTGTGTGCTGCTTTCAGTGATTGTTGGGTCAGAGGCGAGGCAATGACTACGTGCCATCTCAACCATTGCTCGGAGGTTCGACCAAGACTCTAACTCAACATGTCTTGTAGACATATGGTAGAAATTTCCAATCCATCTTTTACTCCATGAGCTCAGTCTAGAAAACACACGGAGGTTCCGGAATCTTCTCTTATGGGACCCTGTTCTCCCAAACGTGGCTTTAGATGTCGGTTTATCGTTCAACCAACTGAGGAGGTATAGATTCTGGACTATCCGAATGCGAAATGTTACGCGTGGTCATCCAAACTTCTACTGGTGGGGACCACTTAAGCGACGTTATCGATACGAAGACCATCTTACTAGAAGATGTAATGCGTTGTTAGTAGGCGTCACCGCAAGCGGGGAGTTAGTTCTCAGGCTACAGCACCAGAACTCAGAAAGATGTGAGTAAATTGTTTTACTTTCAGACTGAACGCCCCCATCCCTTGAAGTGAGCTGCCAACAACGAATCATATGTACTCTCGCAACTAATTGAGCATGTTACCCAAACAAAAAACGAAGCCCACAACAAGCCCAGTTCCGGGCAATTTTAATTCGAGTTTTCATTCGTACATGCTACGATTAATCCATGCAGATAGACGTACTTTCTTCACTGACATCCGGGTCGCTCATCGACGCCAACTCAACTCTTTGACGCATGGAGCAATTTAGTTATTCGTAGACTGTTCACAGCATACAAAACCGGAATCCAAGTGAAAATGAGATGAACGAAAAGCCAGCCAATTACGTTTCTAGAATACGCGCGCGAGAACGATAAACGGTGAACGCCAAGCCACTCTCACGGTGCGACCTGCACTCGTGCGGCACAGTAAAACCTACCTGGCAATCCCCCACCTTACGACTTCAACCTTTACAAACCACTCATCGCAAAACGAAAAGTTGTATTGAAATCATGGACGGTTCGAAATTCTTTCAAGCTTGGGACAACTTCCTCGGCCTGTTTCGAGCTGCTAATATGCCGGATCAAAACACCAACCCTCCTTCAGAAGACCGAGAAGTTCCCCAAGACGAGCTTGGAGATCATGAAGAACCTCTAGATAAAGAAGCTCTTTCTGAAGATGACACCGACAAGCAAAGCGACACTGGAGGCTCAGAGGATCACTCGGAGACTGACCCCACTGACCCCACTGACGACACAAACGCCTCAGAGCCAGACAACGTCGGGCGCGACAACCCTATTCCCAGAGGCAATGGTAGCATTACAGCAGCTTTCAACGTATTCTGCCGACAAGCATCCGACTCTGTCGTAATGAAAGTTGAGATGGCTGTATCAAAAGTCAAAGACTTCATCAGCAATGCCATTGAGACTTTCAAGGAAAAAGGTTTTTGGGTCACTGCAAAGGAGGCCGGAGCATGGATGAACGCGCATCCGTGGGAGACGGCTCTCATAGTCGCACCCATTGTTGCCGTGATAATTACACCCATCATGCTTTTCGCTATTGGATTCGGACCCGCTGGCGTCGCAGCTGGTAAGTATTCAATCGTCATACCGAAAGACTGATCATGACATGCTGACTTATCTTAGGCAGCACAGCGGCCATCATTCAAGCGGGCATCGGTAACGTGGTCGCGAACTCCCTGTTTGCAACATGTACAAGCGCGATGATGGGCGGCTCCGGTGGTCTCATCATCTTTGGGGGCGTTTGGGCTATGTCGACTGTGGCTACTGCAGCTTCAATGTCTGCTTGGAAGCGATGGAAGAGCAGAAATGACCGAAGTGTGGTGCTATTTCCGGGAGTAGCACCAAATGATATCTCCAAGAAAATTAAGGACGCCGCCGAGAATTTCGTGGTTGGGTCCATGCTATTAGCTGCATACGTCACTTACCGCATCAAGAGTTGGTTGCAGTCACGCAGGCGAACAAAGAGTGATTAGCTCTCAGACATCCAAACATTGTCGGACAGTGGCTATATTCGGAGCGCAGGGATAACATTGTCGCTTGCATGATCGGACCTTATACATGACGGTGGGGCTGGGATGCGGAGTTGGGAAAACAAGACATCTTGTCAATATCAGCGCATTAGTCCCAGAGGCCAATGCTCATTTCCCAGAGCAACTCAATAAAAAGTCATTCGATTCCAGACCTTCCATCAAGATACATTCATGTACCGATTTGCGATCGATGACTTCAATTCTAGGCTTTTACGATAGTTTGTAACCGGGCCTATACACCACTTTCACCCGATTCTTATGATTAGAAGGGAGCTTACTTGAAGGAAATTCGAGAATTACCATTTCAGTATGCAGCAACATGTTGTGTATGTTGATGATGTGGCATTGAGCGATGCTCCACTCGGTGAGGGAGTAACGCTGACCTCACCCAGACTCAGCTGAACGTCGGCAATAATTTAGTCACAGATATCCAAACAAAACCAGCGACATGAAAGCCGAGTTTGGGCAATCTACGAAAATAGGCAGTATATTCCAAGAATGTTGATGGGAAGGTTTCCACGAAGGTGACCCTAGTAATGATATTCGCCGTTTTCAATGGTCGACCGCGATGCGATAACAGCTCCACAGTGGGGCATCAACATACTTCTTGACGGAGATAAGTGAGTTTTGATGGAAATTGCAAATGCTAACATCTTATAGCCGGAGTTCAGGGCCGTCCAGGGGCATTAACTAGGCAGCCAATGCTGAGTAATGACAGCACTGGCCATCAATGCTGTTGGTCGGTAATGCCGCCTAGAAAGCCTCATCTTAAGCCATCTATGCCAGGCGCTACATCATGCCAGCAAACCGGACACGAAGCACCAATTCTCAGGGCAGACAAAGGTCTTGCTCAGAATGCGCAAAATCCAAACGTAAATGTGGCTTGGAGCAGCCCAGTTGCGCACGATGTATCAGACGACGGTTATCCTGCATTTATCCATCGCAACCTCACATCCACGCTACAGTCCCGTACACCTTTACACCAGATATCGATGCTACAATCAATCAACTCAATATACCTTTGGATCTTGCGGAACTGGAAAATGTTCATCTCGATTTCAATTTCGACGAGTCTGCCATAGCAACAACCTCCAATACGGACACCCTGGATTTCGACTTCCCGGCTAGTACGACCTGTGTCGCTTCCTTCCCAGCTGCACTGCAAAACTCCCCAAACTTCGACAACCAGACGGCTCTTCAAAAGGCTCCAACGCAGGCGAAGAATCAATTCTTGTCAATTAACCTCTCCCCTTACGCGAGGGCGAGGATGGGTTATTTCCTCGAGCACATGCAGTTGGTACCAAGAACAATGGTAGAGCAAAACCGTACGCCATGGATGCACTCAACGCTCTACGACAACCATATGCCCCGTTGCTTACAACACGCCCACGCTGCATGTGCACTCTACATTACCAAAAATCAGATCAATGCTGGGCGCGTCGCACACCATATCCAGAGTCGTGTGGAAGAGTTGCTCAATGAGACTGTACCCGATACGCCGATCGAGATCCTCGCTCGAACTCACGCAACCATGTTGTACCAACTCATGCTTGTATTTGGCAGCGATATCCGCCCTTGTGTACAGACCGATGCTTTGTCATCTCACCTAGAAGAGATGGAAGCGATGCTCGTACCGATTGCTACTGAGGAGAATGAGCATGTAGGCGCTCTCCCATTGTACCCATCCACAGCGGCTCACTCGGCCTGGCGATCATTCATATTCCGCGAGTCGGCTCGACGTACAGTCCTAGCTGCATATCAAATCACAGTAATGTACACGGTCCTCACGGGTCAAATGAAAACTTGCAGCCAAGATATTGCACTCAAGTCTCGCGTCACGCTATCCGCGCACTTGTGGAAAGCCGCCAACGCCTTCGATTTCGCCATGAGTTGGAACGCAAAGAATCACTTTGTTGTCAGGGGACTGGAGTTTACGAATGTATTGGAGGAAGCGCAGCCAGACGATCTCGATGTGTTTGGGAACATACTGCTCATCTCTTTGCAAGGCATCGATGATATTCGTGGATGGTACCACGTACGAGGCGGGACATTGGAACTACCTTGAATCCGATGCTGCTTCCTTTCCCCACAATATACATCAAATCTCGCAACGTAATCCGCACAATCACCGGTCTGAAATCCACACGTCTTCCTATCACATCCGGCCAGCCACAGTCGTGCGATACCTCAATCATCACCGCGCCGTTAGCTACCGGGAACAGGTACTGTCACTCGAGGAAATATTCATCCTTCAATCATTATGCTTTTCCATGTTGGATCCCGGCAGCGGCGTCTCAGGCCACGCCCAATAACGATCCACTTTCTTTAAGAACCGTATGCCATCACTCTCTCTCTGCTCGACGATCCAGACTCGCTCGGTGATGGACAACGGATGATGTCACCAAGGACAATGCAGACCCATCTTACAGCGATAACGAGTAAGAAAAGTGCTGAAGCAAAGACCAAGGTCATGACGCGAATCTGAGCCGTACTTGGAGGGTGTAATCTTGCTATTATGGCCATTGAAAAAGCCTTCGCCCTTTGGCAGATCTGCGTATTTCATGTAAATGTCGTAATTGTATCGGAGAAGATCGTATGCTGTCGGTGGTGGAGGAGGGATGGGAGAGTCTTGGGTGGGCGACAAGTCCCTCGCCGAGGTATGTGGAGGAAATTTCTGCGCTTGATGCTCGTTGCTGTAGTTGTGATGCGACTGCTCTATCGGCCTCATTCGGAAAGCCAAGATGAATTGTGGTCGGTTGGTGTTGGAGTGTTGAGACTGCTCTGCGTCTTGCTCGGTGGGGGTCACCTCGCTGGAACTAACGCTACATGAGTCTACCCCATTGTTAGTCCAGAAAACCCCTAGGCTTCCTGCAATTCATTTACGGCGCCGAAATACCTGATCATTCCTCAATATCTCGACGCCTATCTTGATGCTGGAAGGATCCGGCATCTGCGGCCATCTGGCCTGCAGATGGACCTTCGTTGTCGCGATCTTGGCTCGGAACAATGCCAGGGCCCCAGCGAGAGCTTGCTCTAGATCCGTACGACTGGGGCATCCTATACGAAAAGTCAGAATGCAACTTTCGACACGGGACGTCGCTCATGCCTGTTTGTTCCGCTCTCGCTTTGGCGGTCAGTCACTTCACCATGACTCTCACGTGCGGGGTGATCGTGGTCTCTGGTGCGATACTCTTGAGAGCGTTCAAGACTGTTCATACAGTCCCTGGCTTCATGACCTTCAATAAGTCAGTAACGGTAGTTTTCCAATGATCTCTTATTGACTTCCCAAGAGCACCACATGTACGGCATCGCACATCACTGGTCTTGTACAATGGTGGGTAAAAGTCTGGATACGTGACTGTCGTCGGAGACTCGTGTCTCTCTCGTTGGAATGGCGAGCGTTGTCGATAGCGGGCGTCGAAATCAGGAGATCGGGAGCTGGAGGGCGAGCGGCTCCGAGCGGTATATTTGAACCTATGCTGTGACATGTCAGCTTTGGTTCGCGAGTAAGACCCGCGTCCCGACCTCCACTTGGTTCGACTGCGGAGGTTCTGGTTTTCTGTAAGTGTAGATGGCAACGGTATATTTATATGTGAGTGAGTTGTTGCGCACAGGTCGCATCTCGCAGTCACTGTCAACATTCACTTACGCTTTGTAGCTGACGTCACGCATGTCCTGAGACTCAGATTCACCTGTGAAGCCAGGCATCGTTGCCAGGAGAGGCAGCACGCAGAGTAACGAGTCGGGTATAGCTTTGAGAAGCATCATAAGACCTCCACGTACGTACAACTATGCGGTTTCTGTAGATTTCTCATTTTACTAATGTACAGTGAGCATCGATATGCTCTAATGGCATAACATGCCATATGCTCCTCATGTTTCCTCATATTGAGTCCGGTGGGGTCTTAACCTTTCTTCTAAAATCCCAGCTTCCGACTCCCCACCGCTCAGTGATCTGCTATCAGTACTCTCACACAACTCGTAAACCGGACTAAGATCTACTTTGGTGATCTGAATAACTGGAATGTCGTTTTCTGTCAACGGCTGTGGGGCATACAACTCTGGGAAGATGTGTCCCTCCATCTCTGCACAGGGCAGCCCATCCTTCTCAAATACAGCCGCGCCTTCAGTCTCTACTCTGGACTGACCTTCACACTCTATGCTTGGGTCCTCTACTGTAGGCTGCTGCGGGGCCCTTGTCTTCCTTCTCTTCCGACAAACCCAGAGTCCCAAAAATGACGCAATTGCTAAAAAGAGTATGCTGCCTATTGCTATTCCCGCTATCGCGCCTTTACTCAATGATCTTCGGCTTTTGAGGTTAGATATTTCCCTTGGACTGAACACTGGGACGACTTCCTGTTTGTCGCCGGATGTTGGAAATAGCGCTTGATGGATAGAAAAATTCTCTCGATCATAATCAATCTTTATGTACGCTTCTTGGAAGAAGGTACGTCCCAAAGTATACTGAGTCTCGTTATATGCCCTTCTTATTGGAAAGTAGTTGGTTGCGTTCTCATATATGGGGTAAGAAGCCTGCTGATCAAATGCACTATAGGGTAGCACTATATTGACCCGGCCTGAGGGGTCGGATGCTGTTTGTCCAAGTCCAAAGGTGATTTTTGGATTGCTTTCCACGAGCTTTGCGTGAGCTGAGTAGTCGACCAAGTACAGGTCTGTGCTATTGTCATATGTCAAGTTGAACGCCTTTGCGAATCGATCACAGGTTGGTACTGGTAACCATATATGTGGCTCTGCAAAGTCGACCAACATATACGGCACGACCTCTTCCTGGAGACTGATAGTCTCACCAGCCAGGTTTTGCCCTATTATTGTCTGTATCTTCAGACTAGGTTTACGACTGTCATTGGCATCAAAAGGAAACGTAACATTGTTCGGAACGAACCGTGACTGGTCGTAGCCACCATAAGTCAAGCTCCCATAGACGTTCGGTTGTTCTGTAGTGCTTGTAAGTCTTCTGTTTCTTCTCCGTATGTACAAGTATTGACTCACTGTAGTAGGCGCCAGCTGTGTAACCATAGCTCAGACTAGGTATGTGGCCATCCTCGTGCAGAGTTTTTATAAGACTTCGTTGCGGATTTGCGAAATCTGAAAAGTTGCTCGGCTTCACGTCCATCCCTAACCTTCCAACCCACAGACGTGGGTTCACCACAGCACCGATCGTTTGATTTTCCAAAGTGGGTCCCCCCGAATTCGCGATCATTAGCCCCAAATTATCTAAGCCGTAGAGGCCAGACGCGTTGTAACCCAGCTCTTCACGGTTTGTTGTTTGGTAGATACCAATCTCGTGCCATGTGCTGGACAGATTGGCCTGGAAGCCATTGTTCGTTCGACCCTGGTAAAGCTCTGCACCACGCGAAAAGGCACAATCTTTCTGAAGGATCTTAGTCAAGATGTCTCATACGTAACAGGAACTAAACTAACCGTGCTCATGTGCTCGTCATCTTTGCAAGCACCGGCCATGGGGAGAAGTGTCTCACTTGAGACCGTAGATGGCAAGACGCGAAAGCTCTGCTCGGGTGTGCCAACACGCACTACAAATGTGGACCATTTCCCATCATCCCCTTCGAAATACTGAGACGGTGCAAATGAGATTGGAGCAGCCGTCGCAGCTGCACGCTGAGCTTCGACCGACGACATTCTGATATTGGGGGTAACGGCGCACGCCCGCTTTTTCGAAAGTAGATTACTGAACGCGTGGCTGATAGCGATCCCAGTGTGAAACGTACATTGCGGAAGATATATGGGTCAAGCGAATTCGAACAGTTTGGCTGACTACGACCGATAGGCATTGCCGAGATATCGGTTTATCCATCTGGGCCACTCGATAAGAAGTCGCCTGACGACATAGGTGCGGCAAAATCAATATCGGACTAGAAGGCCCTGAGTTGCCGCGAAGAATAGACAGCCTAACTGAATGGCCTCGATCTTCAATGACAACGAATGGGACGTTGTTTCTGCTCAAATCGCGAGCTATCTGATACGACAAGATGGTGCCTTGGCCCCATCTTAGCTTACTCTGACTAGCGTGTGCAATGCTATTGTAGACAAGGCGACTCAAATATGGTGGATCACCTCTCAAAAGAGTTTACTGTTGTTTCGGGCCCCCCGTTTTTCGGAGTAGGTCATCGTATTGGCCGCTTAATCATCGACGTTCTACTACAAATTCGACAGGGGCCAAAAGCCACGCCAAGAAACTCTACCGTCAACCGTGAACTCGGGAACATCGCTTCTGCAGTACTCGTCTGGAACTTCCCCACGGCGCTTATCTCAAACTGACGTTCGGGTCAGGGTTGTTTCTATTCGTAGCCCGCGTCGCATTGTCTTGCATACACCTGCATATCAACATCACTACGCCTCTCTATGGAGCCAGATTGAGAAGGAGGACATCTGTAGCGCAAACTTCGAGGGGCCAAAAACTTCAAAATTCGCGCTGATACATGCTTCATAATGACCAAAGGGTTGGCCTGAGGGATTCAGGCGGATTTTGAACGATAGGCAAGAGGTGCAATGACGATGGGTTGCGTGAACCTTCTCGCAAGGCAGATTTTGAGATGAAGATAAAGGCAGTAAAGACCTTCGAGCTATGAGATGAACCAGATCAACACGCTCGGGATCAACATTTTAAACTGAATACTATCTTCACTGCAGGCTTTTCCAGATTCACCTTCTCCAACTCTCTTGATCGGCAACCTGTCAATCTCTGTCCAGGATTCTGGATACCCTGCGAACTGCAGCGATGCCGCACCAATACTTTGTCTGCATCCTGCTGGCTAGTCTCATTCCATCACGAGTTCTAGCCGCACCTACTGGACGTCCTTCTGTAGTTGCAAGATATGCAGCTATGTGTGACGACCCCAACTTATCCTGGTAAGTACAAACTGTTTTGACCTCAACTTGACCAGTGCTGATAGAACAAAGGGATGAGAAGAAGGATGCTTCCTGCCCAATTTGTGTAATGGATAGCTTTCCGATGTAAGTTTTAATCTACTCTGCGACAAACTTGATGGGGAATATACTCATCAGCTACAGGGAATTGTTCGACAAGTATTGTGGCCCAACTATGGCTCCCTCTGTCACTCACCAATACGCCGCGGGTGTCTGGAGACGTGAGGATGGATCAGTGCCTGCACTTCCCGCTGACGACAGTGAGAATGACGAAGAAGATGCCAAACTTCATGCTCTTCCTTACCTCAACCGACCTCAGAATCTTGTACCGGTTCTTCCTGATACCGGCAAGCACATCAAGCCTCTGCCTGTTCTAAAGCCTTACCCCATCGCCATGCCGGTTCCTGTTGAACCTCCGCAAATCATCAACCCAAGGCCTATCTCTGAGTTCAATCCAGGTTTTCTGGTTGACCATGAGACACACGTGGCCAGCAAGCGTCGCAGTGTCCAAAGTATTGATCTTGAGCCTGTCGATAAGGACTTGTCAGCACACCTGATTACTAGTGGACTTTGGGCTGAGCGTCACCACAAGGCTGATGGTATTTACCGCCGCGAAGATGCGCTCTCCGAAACCGAGCCAGCAGGTTCTTCCCTGCCAGCCCAAGCCACAACTGCAGAAGTTGATGAAGACTTCCTTCCAAAAGAAACTGTGGCGAGTGTTTCCGATGAAGACCCGGAAGTCTCAGAGGATCAAATTGTGACGAGCTTTGACAAGGTTACTCACAAACCTGCTTCTGTAATCTGGCGTAGGGAGGTCCCCCGTCCAGCCAACAACTTTAGATTAGGGTACCCATTACGCCCGGCCAATGGTCGTACACCCCTTCCCTTGATCAAAAGCGTACAGCCTATTGACAAGGAGGATCAAAAACGAGAGGCAAATCCTGTACCCCCGCCAGAGTTCTTCGAACACGGTCACTCACCTTCAAAACCATTATCCCCTCTGAAGCCCAATCGACCAATCTCTATTCCATCTGACGGCTGGACCACCTACGAAGCCCCTCCCATCATCTCCCCTGAAGCCCCTCACATCCTCGCCCGCCAATCCCCCGGAGCATCCGAACCCGGGCTCGGCGACGACTACGCCAAGTACGAAAAACAGCGCAAGAAAGAAGAAAAAAAGAAAGCAAAGGGAGAAAAGAATAAACCCAAAGAGGAAGAAATGTACAACACCGGACCCCCAGACGTATCGTTCGCCCCCGCCATAACCCACATGCAAGTCAGCAGCATCCACCGCCGCGACGACGATACAGACCCGCACCAACCTCCCTCCCTCTCCCTTCCACCAGCCCAAAAGCCAACCTGGAAATACACACTCCCCTGGTTCACCCCGGCCCTGACCCACGCAGAAGCAACCGACATCTACCGCCGCGCCACGACCCAACCTGCCGACCTCGACTTCGCAGACGGCAAACGCCCCATTTGGACCCCGGCGCTGACACATATGAAATGGCCGGATATCCATCGGCGCGAGAAGAGACTCGTGTGGGCGGATCGGAAGCCTACGACGGAGAATCCTGCTAGGACGCATGGGAAGGCGTGGATTGTGCAGCGGAGGGATGTCGTGGGAGAGTAGGTGTGTCAAGGGCCTGGTATGCTGCAAGACAAAGACGAAGGTGTCGCTGGAAACGATGATATACTTTCCCTTTTTTTTCCTTTTTCTTCTCCCCTTTACTCTCCTCATCATTCACGTCTTTCTCTTAGTGAGCAGTATATACAAGCATCCCTTCCTTTTCTCAAACCGTCAGTCTCGCATCGTTTTTTTTTGCTTTTGAGTTTAGTAGAGTGGTAGTCTAAAACCGTTACTTACTACTATAAGACTGGACCCTGAGTTTGCTTTCGTCCGTACCGTAATTGTCCCGCATGTCGATCCCTAACCCCCCTCAATGAACCGTGCAAAAAAGCGGCTACCCCAGCCCCCAACTCCGCACACGTGTTAGTATAATTCTGGAACCTGAAAGGACCAAGGAATATGGGGTCAACATATGTGACAAGTGTAAAACTTTGTTTCGCCGTGAAAAATTGGGCTAGGACGCGTATATTATATATACCTCAGTAAGCACACAACATGGTGCCATTTCTGACAGGTGTCAAGCCCTGATATCTCAACAAAGAGACCAGAAGAGAAAAAAAGATGATGCTACCTCCGAAAATTCTCACATCTCCGTTTACCGCAAAACTCCTCCATGTATCCATTGTTCACACAAATTTATATTGCTTCCCTGAAGACACTTCTCCGACTCTCCGTAGGACTCTTATCGTGATGACTATCGGGACTCCCACTCTTCTTACGAGGATCTGCGCTAGAGTTGCCTGCCGTCGTCGCAGCACCATGGTACCCGGTATCAGCGTCCATGACGGGTCTGGGGCTGACGCCGCGCAGACTGGCCGCCGCGTCGTCGCCAAAGGGATTGCGAGCATTGTGAGCATCGAGATGCTCGTCGTATGATTCGCGGGTGCGACTGCGGCCACGGGTGGGTTCGCCGGCAAAGGGATTGGCAGACTGATTGGCGGCGTGCGGGGGGTCGTGGAGGCCCAATTCCTGTTCTTCATAGTATGCCTCGTCGCCCACGCGCGAACTCCATGCTTCGTCGGGATCGAGGCGGCTGCCTGCGCCGCGGCCGCCGCCGACGCCGCGGGAGCCGTAGCCCGTGTCTTCGTAGCCGCTGCCGGTGGTGTAGCGGTTGTTGCGGTTCTTGAACTTGCGGACTTGGGTGTCGATCCAGCCCTTGATGCCCGTGGGAGCGGGGCCCGGGTAGTTTGAGGCTTCGGCGTTGGAGCTGCTGAAGGCCACCATGGGATTCATTGAGGGCGGGGGAAGGCCATTGCGCGAGGCGTTCCAGCGCGCGTAAAAGTACCAGCCAAAGTAGGTGCCGGAGACCAAGAGGATGAGGACGATAGCGAAGACAAGCCAGCCGTTCATGATTGCGGAGGGCGTGGAAAAGCGGAAATATGGGGTAGAGAAGGCGTGGTTAGCTGCGCATGTGCGCGTGAGCAGAGGCTATGGCGAGTGCGCGAGATACGAGGTAGAGTTGGGTTTTCGGCCTCTGCGGGACGGGGTATCGCCGTGATGTGAGCACAGGCGGCTGGCGGAGGCGGCGGAGGCGGCGGCGAGGCGAGGCTCCTGTGTGGAGCAGACAAAGGGTGTGGTTTGTATTGCAACGGCGTCGACACGTCGCAATTGTCGCTTTGTTGGTTGCTGCTGACAGCTGGACAGCTGGCGCGGCTGAGCCTGCCCGCCCTTCACTCTAGGCTTCTTTCCTGGTGCCCGTTGCCAAGTGATGACGTAACCCTCGCTGCTGCGCCGCCCCCAGGATCAAAGCTGCCCGCCCACCTGCGGGTTGCGCTACTAAAGCAGGGTACAAGAATCTTACATACATTTAGGCTCAAATCTGGTAGCTTTTCTATGCTCAGTACCTTAACTTGATCTACTTAGACAAAACCACCTATCATTAAAATGAGTCTACATACTATATATTTACATATTGACATCTACTCGTCTCCGTCACATGAACCTCCAAAAAAACATTCAATATATACAAATTTGGCGTACTTCTAGTGTGCGACATTTCCAGTCCGTCTAGGCTTGGAGCGCAAGGCCGAGTTTGGGAATTTCGTCCTCGGTGCTGTGCACCACATAAAAGTTCTTCATCCATATGGAGCCGAAGAGCGAATTACGCAAAGTCCTCCTTCCAACGATGACTCCCGCACACCTCTGTCGGAATGGATCAGTCACGCCGAAGTTGAGGTGTTGACCAGGAACCGAAAACGTCTGGCCCTCGATCTTGAAGGTGAAATCTGGCAGGGTGGCGTTGCATGGGAAGGTGTTACTCTCGCCGATTGTCAACTCGTATTCTGGAACCTGGCTGTAGTAGTCAGCGACGACCTGATCGGGCAGGTAGATGAGCGGGGAACCAGAGTCCACAGTGGTGTTACCGATAGTGGCGGTACCAAAGGTTTTGTTGCCTGCACCGTACTCTCCAACCGCTATGGTCCAATGCTTCATGTTGCCGACCACGGGCGTATATGTGACGTCGCCAGTGTATTTGGATTTGTCGAGATAGCCAAAGTCCCATGAGCCATTGCCCTCGGGCCTCAAGTTTGCAGCAAATACTTTCTTCTTCAATGTTGGTGCGACGGTTTCGAAGAAGGTGGCTTGTGGCACAGGCTGTACCTGGTTGATGATGCCGAACGAAAGGCCCATGATACCATCCGAGTCGATATCAGAGGGGACATAGGTTGCTACCTCAACGGCTTGCTTCTCGGCCACAACCGGGCCAGCCTTGACCATATCCGTGTAAACGATGCCATTGGCCGAGGAGCCGCCTGAGTACGTGATGGTCCAGTTGTAGTTGGGCAACAGTTGTGCAGACGACGAGGGGAAGTAGTAGGTTTTGCCGGGACCTTGTATATTTGATGTCTCGTTTCCAAACACCCACAAGTCGGCCGAGCCAGTATCGTAAATCAGGTTGAAAGTCTGATTTCCAATAATGGTAGGGGTTAGGTATGTGACGCCAGGATCATTGGGAATAACAGTGACGGATCCTTCCTGCTGGCCTGCAACACCGGCTTGTCTCTTGTCGACATTTTCCGTGATAAGATGCCTTGAGCGAAGTTTTCGAAACTCGGCCTCGAAATCAAATGATCGGGGAGCGGCTGCTACGGCGTCGACACTGTAGGCAGCGCCTCGAGGTTCTGCTACAAGGGCGCAGGCAGAAGACGCAAGTATGGCGAGTGCGAGCTTGCCTGTCATACTTTGCGAACGTGACATTGTGTTTGTGTGAAGAAGTAGAGAGAGATGGTGGTGTGACGCGGCAAGTGCTGTGTAGCCAAGTAATGCCGGACAAAGTTGAATTTATCGGGGTATGTATCTGTCTGTCGAGCTGACGTCGCGTTAGCATACTTATGTAGCAGATGCAATGCCGACAATCTTACATGGTAACAATGGATACCTCTGCTCGGGGCACATTGCAACCACTGTCCCCTTGGACTAGGTGTTTATTGGGCAAGGTAAGAGTGATTTCGAGTCCAGGGGTTGTACGACCCTACCGTTACTTCCGTGTAAGCTACATGGCATGATGTCAATAAGCTCGTATTGAGAAGTAAAGACAATGAACTCGCAAGGGAGGTTGACCGAAATAGCAAAAGCGATGTATGCATTTCCCATGCTGGTAGTCTATAAAAAGTAAGGACTTGGCTCGACGTGGGAAATCGTGTGCCGATCAAGGCCGTGCAGTGGTGTGGAGAGTCGACTAGGAAAGAAGAAGCCGCCAATCAAGTTTATCCGGTAGAAATGGCGGACGAGTTGGCCGGGGATGATCCGGCTGGTGGGTTGCGATAGGAAGGAGCTCGTGTTTACATAATGCAGCGTCCACTTTGGTCGCCATGAAACATTCATCTCCACAATCCCATCTACTACGTATTGTTTTACAAAAAAAAACGGGAAACCCGCAAACCCGCAAACCCACCAACCGTCAAGATACTCGCACACCTGCAAAGACAGCGTGCAGTGGTCCGTGCCAAATACAAGACACCAAACTCAACGCCGTCATACTCGTATTGCTACAATTCCCGGCACGGTCCGACTCAAGTACTTAGTAGATACTTAGTGGCCAAGTCAAGCTTTGGCCACTCCCTTGGCAGTGCATACGCTCTGGAGATCACAGTCGACAACCCACATTCAGGAGTGCCTTGGTTCGGTCGGCCAAGAGGTCGGCAGCTACCTATTCACATAAAGAGCTGCCATGGTGCCGTGTTCCCTTGTCTCGTTTGCATCTGCACAGTCTTGCTCTCACACTCAACAACCATGCCTGATTCCAACTTAGTTTCGCGGGCGATCCTCGCCGCCCTTGCACTCCCTGCTGTCTCTGCCGAACTTCCCCCAGGCGCCATTGCTGTGCCCATGATCCGAGGAGCGGATCTCGGAGCATACTTCGCAGAATTCCAAGTCGGAACGCCCCCGCAGAAGGAATGGCTCAAAGTCGATACTGGCAGTCCACGATTTTCCTTTCTTGACTCGCGCAACCAGGAATGTGTCCTAGATCCAAACGCGTGCAGTACATATGGCACTTTTGACAACTTGACCTCTTCGTAAGTGACCACCTTTGGCTTTGTTTTTTTTTATCTTTCAATTCGCAAGCGCTAATTCTACATTTTCCAGAACTTGTCGTTATGAAGGGCCTGGGTTCTTTGATGCTCTCTATGCATCTGGACAAGGCGATTTCCTCAATGACACCTTGGTCCTGGGCGGTGTCACCTTACCCAACATATATTTCGGCTACACGTCCAAGTATCCGAGCCTCGGACGAGCTCCAAAACCAATTTCCACCATCTTGGGTATGTCAGGACGCATGTCTTCTTCGTGCACGACTGTAGTCTAACGGTTTGATTAGGCTTGTCTCTTGAATGTGGAGGCCAACACGGGGCTGACTGCATGGGCAAGGGACCGTATCTGCTACCACAGTTGAAGAATGCCTCACTGATTGACATCATGGCAACAAGCTTCTACCTTGGCCGGGATGAATTCAACGAGACCAATGCCCAGATGATTATTGGTGGCGCCTATGACAAGGCAAAGGTGGACGGCGACCTGTTCACCGTCGAGATGGCGGATCCATTCTCCCCTAGCCTCACCAATGGCCAGACTAACAACGTCAACGTCACTGCATTGGAAGTTGTAATTGACGGCGGCAACCGTACGTCACAAACCTTTGGAGAACGTGGTGTCGGTGTCCCCGTTTTGATCGACACGGGCGTTGCAAGCTGGTACGTGACTGATACCATCTACGCCGCTGTCTCCAAGGCATTTGGTATCACCGCTACAGCCCCACTTGGGCAACAGTGGGTCGCTGTCGACTGCATCAACCGGGACCCCAACCATTCCAAGGGCTACATCTCTGTCGAATTCGGCGCTAATGGCAAGATTGATGTTCCGCTGCACGAAATTGTCACTCTGTTTGCTGATGGCACATGTGGTCTCTTCATGCAGGGTCGCGAAGAAACCATCAACATATTTGGAGACGTATTTATCCGTTCAGTTTACACAATCTACGACGAGGAGAACAAGACCATAACATTCGGTAGAGTAAAGCACACAACCGAGCAGAACATTGTGCCATTCCCCAAGGGAGGTTTCAAGGTCGGTTCAAAGGTCACTTCTTAGACACTATATTTGTAATCCGGTTAGAATGTACATATTCAAGTTGGGACTACGAGGCCCTGGCGCTCTTTCACTAGAGGAAATGTGATAGATGATGGTTTAATGATACCGTAATTACATATCTTGGAACAATCCAATGATTCATTTCCAACTTCTCAAAGACTGTTTTCTAGTTGTCCAGACCATACTAGCACTTGGACAGAATAGAGGTAGGTCAACAAGAGATGGACAGCACAACCATGCCAAGAAAGTCATTACAACGAATGCAAGTCACAACCCTGGACTCTGTAGCGAGAATTAGCGCAGGCCGTGTCGATATATGAACTCACACTATGCTAGCGCTACGGGACGGGATATCCGCAGACTGAGAAAGATCCGAAATCCCGCGAAAGAGCTAAATGGAGGTGCTTATAAGCTCGCCCATAACTCTTGTATGGAAGAAGGTACTTAGCTCCGTGCCTTACCTGTCAAGGCCATTTAGTCTGACTTTACTACTAGTTCTATGTAGCAAGGATAAGTAGACGTCGCGTGGGAATCGCGCTAACGTAACACGGAGATCCCTGTCATTTGGGTATACAGAGTGAGAGAGCAAGTACCGGTAGAGTTTGGAGCTATGCAGATTCTGTATTATCATGCGGCAAAAGCCGTAGAGCGGTATAGATATGGGTCTGACACTGCAAACAGAATGTCGCCATTATCTTCATCATGTCGTTATAGGCAGCGCTGAATTGATTAACAAGCAACCCCGCGATGATATCATCTTATAGCTCCCCGCCCCTCACTCAACCCCTCCATTACCACCCCAGCCATGGCAACGGTCAATGAGGCGGAGGCGCCACAGCCTAGAAAGATTGTCATTGATCTACCAACTGCAGACGGTGCATCTAAAGCTACCGTCACTTTGCAAGAAAACGAAGATGCCACCAAACCACCCTTGCTCCTCAACATCTCCAAGAGAGCTCTCGACTCACCAGATACAAACACAACATTAACCGAACGTAAAACCCACGTTATCATTTCCGTAGGATCTGGCACCCGCCAGGCAGAGAACTTCTTCAACA